TGTTTGAATGCTCCAATCAGACGGGCCGATTCCTTATGACAGAAGTGGCTGACTTCACTCAGGATGACCTGGACGAGGATGATGTCATGCTTCTGGACACCTGGGAGGAGGTGGGCTGTGTGAGGTCATGCTGTCGGCTTCTTTTGCATGAGGCTGCGGTGAAATGCCAGTGCCGTTCTGGGTTATGCAAAATATGCAGAGAGAAATAGTGTCAAACAACAATTTTGCTAGTAGTTTTGTGTTTTGAGTTACTCAAACCCAGGGGTTTTCAAACTGGCGACCAAATAAATTACAAAGAGAAAGAAAAAGAGTGTGGGAGGGGTCAAAATTGGGGGTTGGTGGCATTAAAAAGTTAGAAAGCTCCTGCTCTTATATGTCAATCTCCTAAACCCCTCTTCTTCCTCCTCCCTCAGATTTTCCTTTGGATTGGCAACTCAGCCAACCAGTATGAGACTCAGGAGTCCTATAGCGGTGCAGTGGAATATCTTAAAACCCACCCAGCCGGACGGGACCCTGGGACACCCATCACCACTGTTAAACAAGGCTATGAGCCGCCCACCTTCACCGGCTGGTTTAATGCTTGGGATGCTCATAAGTGGAGCGTGAGTCCAGCAGGGGGCAGTAATGCGCAACAAATTCACTAACAAACTAACTGAATCTTGAGAAGTTCAGTCCACATAATCATTTGTTGATTCTCATCTAATAATACATCCTCAACATGAAAGCAAAATTGACCATTTTCCTGATCTTATTTGGCATGATTCTTCATTGTGTTTTTCCCAAAAATATTTGTATTTATAAGTTTAAATTAGTATTATTTATTTATAAAAAAAATTATTATTTATAAGTTTACATATTTATTTATTATTAATATGATTTATTTATAAGTTTAAATATTTATAAGTTTAAATGTCTTCTTTCTTTTAATTTCCTCTCAAAAACATAATAATAATACAGATTTTCTCTCAAATATTGACAAAAATGTATGGAAGCTTGTTTTCTCCATGGGGTAAAAAAAAGGTCATTGCAATGTTTCTCCTACATTTCAGAATTTTTTTCTCACAATTATAAATTTATATCTCATAATTTAGATTTTTGTGTTGTAATTCTGAGATATAAAATTAGAACTGTGCAAGGTACAAAGTCAGAAATGTGAGATCAGAATTAGTCTTCTTACTTTCTCGTAAATTCAGAGTTTACACCTCACAACACTGACTTTATTTTCTTTGAATTCTGACTTTTCATCTTGCAATACCTTTATTTTTTATCCTCTGGTGGAAACAAGCTTCCATAATAATTACCACAAAAAAACGATGTTGAACAAATGTAAACCGATTTCATATTCAGACCACGCCCATTTTCCCCTGATGCAAAGAATCAGGTCCCTCCTACTTTTTTCTCATTTAATATTTAAATATTTTATATCATGAACGTAAAGCTGGTTACCAGTGCCATTTCATCCTGACTTTAAATACTTTTTATGTCCACCATCACACCACATAATGAATTAATGTTACACGAGAGACACTTTTTCAGTTTCACTCTATATTCTAGGGAGGCCTTTCATATGAGGAGATGAAAAGCAAGCTGGGTGATATTTCGCAAATCACTGTGGTAAAAAGCTTTAACCATACTGATTAAATGCTTGTCCTGATTCATTTACATTGATCAATCTAATGTGATCAAATTGACTATCTAATTACATTTAGATGTCGATATGATCTACACACCTGTGTGCAAATCTAAACATGAAATCAACCTCATTTCCTGTAGAATCTCAACAACACAAACCTGAATAAGAAGACAGGAGGAGGTGGCGGGAGCTACAGCGCTCCTGGAGGTCCAGGAAATATAAAGTCTCATAATCAGAGGATGTCCTCCTCCATCTCCAATGCATATGTAGACCAGTCTCCCAGCAGAGCAAAGCCTTCTGGGATGCTTCATTCCGAGCAGCTAGTTAAAACTCCTCAACATCAGCTGCCTCAAGGAGTGGACCCTGAAAAACGAGAGGTGGGCACCCGAGACCTTTAGTATGGAAGCATCTTTCTGTGATGAGATCAAAAATAAAAAAGGTCGTTGTGACTCAATTTGTAGCTAATTTATAGCTCCCAGTTCTGAATGTTTTTCTCACAATTCTGAATTATTATTATTATTATTTTTACTTTTTATCTCACATATCTGACAATTTTTCTCTCAATTGTGAGTTTATATTAAAGTCAGAATTGTGAGTTTATATCTTGCAATTCTGACTGTTTTTCTCAGAATTGTGAGATATTAGCGCAGAATTGCAAGAATAAATATCACAATTGTGAGCTAAAAAGTTGCAAACTTTTTTTATTTTTTAATCCTGTGGAAGAAACAAGCTTCCTTCCATACTATTGAGTTGGTCTTAAAAAATCAGAGCTCGAAATATATTTTGAAGGTTATTATCTGGTCATCTTTATTTCAGGAATATTTGACTGATGCAGAATTTGAGAATCTCCTCGGCTGCACCCGTGACAATTTCCAGCGGCTGCCTAAATGGCGTCAGAACGACCTTAAAAAGAAGGCAGGACTGTTTTGAGTTGGTTTTGCTATAATGAGATACAGTCTGATCTTCAGACCTGATTATTGTGCTTCATGTGTATTTTGGGCTAGAAGATGGTCACCTATAAAATGTTATCGATTTATTTATTCATCAAATAAATAAACGTTTCGACTCAAAAGCTGACATGACCTAATAGAAATGCTTTGTAAATATATACAGTAGAACAGTGGTCAACCCGTCGATCGCGATCGACTGGTAGATCTTATCACTGTCCCAGTAGATCCCGAAATAAAACAGTAAAATAAGTACAAAAATGCATTACATTTATGGGGTTATATTAATGTATCACTGAAGGGAACTGTCTTGAGAAAAGTTTCGATGGCATTTTCTCCTCTGTATAAAGCGCAGCTCTGCTTTGTTTACAGCGGTAAACAAGGAAACGCTATAGTGCGGTCGGTTCATAAGCAGTGTTGCCAAGTCCGCGGTTGTCCCGCGGAATTTGGCTACTTTAACACTGTTGCCGCGGGTTGAAGCGACCCCAATAACGTGTTATTTAGTCCCTGGAATGTGAATTTTACTGGAAGATCCCCGCCGAAAAAACGTATTTTACCCCCGGAATGCGATTTTTACAGGGAAATCCTCCTCGAAACGCGATTGGATTAGTTTTATTGCGAAAACCTGGCAACCCTGTTCATAAGTAAAAGGCCTCAAATTTGAAGTATTATCTGGGATGTCTTTTTCTATCAATTCTTCAATAGGTAGATCTTGTCTTTCATAAAGGCCGAGGTCAGGGATCTTGGGCCTAAAAAGGTTGGTTACCCCTGCAGTAGAACATCAAAATTATCCCACCAAAATAACTATATCAGTCGCATACAGTAGAACATGACTTTTAGTGCTAATAAAAACACAATGTATGCCAAGAAATGTTTCTGAGATGTTTAATTCAGTTTTAATGAATGCACTAGTTGAATGCCACAGCATTTTAGAGTCAGTAAAGCCAGTCCTTTCCTGTTAGGAGGATGTCAGAACAGGACATCAGAAACAGATGTTGTTATGGCTCAATATTGCTGAAGTAGAAGGTAACAGCCTGTGTAACAACTTTCCTTTAAGGCACATTAGATAAGTTAAGAACAACATAAAAATAGAAATATTTCTACAAAAGGAGCAGATCAAAGCAGCAATACCTTATACCAACAACAGCAATGAATACAAAACAAACACCTTAAAAATAGAAAGCACAGCTACTGTTTGTAAATGTATAACTCTTCCTTTCTTTTACATCATACACATTTGTAGTGCAACACTTTTACTGATAACTCAATACACGCCTACTGTTCAGATTCTTATATAATGCGATTATTATTGATAGCTGAACATGTTTATCAGAAAATAATGGATAGCATGTACAGTATTGGTAATATGGGGTAAACGGTTCATTGTCCATCATTTGTTCATATAAAGAACAACTGAGCATAAGCCAACGTAAGTCACTGGAACTAGCAAATATCAAACAATATTACTCCAGTTCAACTCATCTCTCACAACACTGAACAAAAGGAGGGTATTGTTAAGATGAAATCTCCTGTTTAACCAAGATATAATTGTGACTAAGATGAAGACTTCATGGGAATGTCTAGACAAAAACACTTTCACTGACAATCAGAAACTATATACAAACACTGTTTAAATACTCTGTTAATGTAAAAAGTCATCAGTGTAGTATATTTTTAAATATAATTTTTTTTAACATTAAAATAGAAAACTGTTAGGTAAAACATTCTCCAATTACAAATCTAAACTGATTTAGACGGGAATGACGATGGAATTCTTAAAATGGAGAGAGAAAATGTGTTTTCTGAAAGTACTCTAGTGTTGTCAAATCGATTAATTGCGATTAATCACATCCAAAATAAAAGTTAGTGTTTATATAATATATGTGTGTGTGCTGTGTATATTTATTTGTATATGGGCTAGGCTTGCTAATTTGTTTATTAACAACAAAAACCCCTAAAGGTATATTTCTGGCAAATGTAAAGACCCTTTTACACCAAAAGTGAAATTAATAAGCCTCAGGCTGAAGGAAGTGCCTCTGAACCTCACTCCCAGTTTTTCTCAATACAGGAACAGTAGAGGTGTCAGTGAATAAATTGGGAAACAAAGTAACTGGCTACTGGCGTTACTTACTTGTTTGAAAAATATATTTTCTTGTAAATTTAAAAGTAATGCGTTGCTTTACTAGTAACTTGAAAAAAAGTCATCTGATTATGTAACTTACGTTACTTGTAATGCATTACCCCCAACACTTGTAAACACCAACTTTTATTTTGGATACGATTAATCGCAATTAATCGATATGACAGCACTAGAAAGTACTACTCTATCTGGTAGCCAAAAAATCTTAAAATTTAAATTAACTTTAAATAAAATATATTTTATAATTTTTTTTTATTTAAACAGTATTTGTTTAAATGTATTCAATTTGCATGCTATGGAAAAAAAATCGAAGACAAAGAATGTGTCGAAATTTTGTAATGTCTTTTTTTTACCCCACCTGTTTTTCTAAACTGAACCGCATGCACTAATTCCATGAAGCATTTTAAGGTACACCTCTGAACTCAAATGGTAAGGAGGAAAGGTCCAAATGTTATCCTAAAAGTGTTTGCAGAGGACATTTTAGTTGATTGTCTTGTTCAGTGATCTGCACACTTTGACATTGCGATGACTGAGGGGAATGTTGGAGTTTATTAGGCATCAAGAGCCATGATGTGTACAAAGAGTCCCGCTGAAGGAATGAGATTTCCTCTCTTCGTGAGCAGAGGCACATGGCGGTATCCTGAAGACAGAAGACAGGACTTATGGTGAGCAAACTCATAATAACTGCACAACAATTTCTCGCTTATTTTCACTAGCTCACCATTCTGCATGCTGGTGAAGGGCAGAGTGTACAGGCCAACCAGGTCATTAGAGGAAGCAGCGTCGTAGTCCTCCACCACAAACCGCACCAAAGCCAGTTCCGGCACGTGAATAGTGAACTGGAATTTTGTGTTCCACACAGGATTGAAACCTGTAACAAAAAACACTTCAGTGACCTACACTTTGGTAAAAAGCATCTGTTAAATGCGTAAGTGTAAATGGACTGTTGACACTTGCCATTGTTGTCAATGTGGTGTGTCTGTTTGCTGGCGTTGTCGTCGGGCACACCGTAGATCTCCACCCTGACCTGAGGGTCCACGATGGACTTCTGCTTGTCTTTATTGATCTTAGGCAGCTGCTGGGCTGATATGATCTGAACAGACACATATAAGAATTGGTCGCTGTTTGGATAGGTTTGCATTTGGTTTAGGGATGAATGATATATCAGTGCCATAATTTAATAACACTGTTAAATGTCTTGATCAAACCTCAAAATTAATATTTATTTTTATTATATTTATTATATTGAATATTATAATGTTGTGATGCCTAAATTCACTTGTTACAATTAAAACAATTGGATTCCAGCTTTTACTGATTAATTTTTAATTAAAAGATTTTATTTTTAATGTACTCATTCATTTATTTCATTTATTGTATCAGCCAGAATAACATTGTTAAATATAATCATTAGCAAACCTCAAAATGAATATTTATTTTTCAGAATGTATATTATAATGTTATGATGCCTAAATTCACTTGTAGCATTTAAAATGATTGGATTTTAGTGATTCATTTTTAATAAAAAAAAAAAGTAAAATAAAATAAGATATATTTACTATGTTTTAAACATTATTTAAAATGTATATATATATATATATATATATATATTATTTTTTTTTATGTACTCATTCATTTATTTTATTTATTGAATCAGCCAGAATAACACTGTTAAATGTAATCATTAGAAAACCTCAAAATCAATATTTATTTTTCATAATGTATATTATAATGTTGTGATGCCTAAATTCACTTGTAGCATTTAAAATGATTAGATTTAGATTTTAGCTTTTAGTAATAAATTTTTCATTAAAAAATAAAAAAGATGTATTTATGTTTTAATAAATAAAAAAATCATCATCATCAAAAAAAAAAAAAAATTCATAATGTATATTATAATGTTGCAATGCCTAAATTCACTCGTGGCATTTAAAAATTAATGGATTTGAGCTTTTAGTGATTAATTTTTAAAGAAAAATAAAGAAATAAAAAGATATATTCATTATTAATTTTTATTAATTTAATGTACTTATGAATTTCTTTTTTATTTATTGTATCAGGCAGAATTTATTATTATTATTATTATATATATTCATCCTAATCTCACCATGACATGCAAGGTCTTTTTCTTCAGCCATGGGCCTACTCTGAGGTTCTTGGGGTCAAACTGTGAGGCAGGGTCCCTCTGAAACTCTGGCTTAAGTATATAGCCACACTTGCCATTAGGTAGAAAGCGGGCCTGATTCAGATCCATCTCCTTACCAGGAGTCTGGAAATTTAGAGCCACTATAGACAATTTGAGGGATAAAAACATATTAAGTGGTGTATGGAAGCACATGTAGATTATAAACAGGCTTTCTGAACTGCATCAGACTCATATTATCTCATATCGCAAGGGCTTTGCACCTATTTGGCAGCCGGCGTTCCACAGTGGCACCGGATTGTAGTTGGATGAATCGGTTCTGGAGCCGGCTGGGTAGATTCTGCTCAGATTATCCATGTTGTGATGAATAAATGGCGTAGCTTCAAGACATCACCAAAATGCGCTATTAGAGTATATCTGGCAACATCACTTATATTTTAGGCCTTTCTTTTCTTTTCTTTTTAGTTTGGGGCCCTATTGAGTGCTGCAGTTATGACATATTCTTGTAGGCCAACCTGGAAGTTAGCAACACCCTGGTTTACCTGAGTTTTCTGCCAGGTTCATTGCTTTGCTCTCCTTGAAGGAGGCCATTTCATAGAAAGCGTGGTAATCTCTTGAATGTTCGAAGTTGCTGAAATGGACACTCTTGCAGTAGATGACCAGGTCTGACAGCTCCTTAGCCAGCTTGATCTTTTTGGAACTCTACAACATAATCAAAAAGAATAACTTCAGTTCACACATGCAATGATGAAGGGATGCCAAATAAGCAGAACAAATCTGTTGTCTGTCTCATGATTTGAATGGGGTTTTTGTGGGAATGTCTTGACAGCTGAGTGTGCCGATTTTAACTCAACCTTATCTACCGCAGCTTTGTGTATGCAAATAAACTCCACGAACCTAAGTGTGCTTTGTGGAACGTTTTTGAAAACTTGTTTTCCAGTTTACATTTAAAAGAAAATGCAGTGGTCTGAAAATAAACTTCAGCCAGGATCAGGAATAGACTTTTGATTTTACACATTTTATTCATTCGATTTAAACCATATTTTGTGTTGCACTAACAAATAAAATCTGCTTTTCTGCCAATTTTACTCGTATAGTGTATGTGGTGTTTGGTTAATGTTAATTTTGTAGTACTTGACAGACAAATTTTATTATGACTTTTTGTTTTCACTGGTACATTAGATTACATTCAAGTTTTCCACTGTCCTGATAAGGTTTAATACAGGTTAAACTCATGCCAGCTGCTGTTTGGGTGTTGGTCTCTGAATGACTGAATGGTTTTTACACACCTTTTCCTTGGGTTTCTGTTCAGCCTCTTTGAGTTCAGCAGCCTCATCTTCCTCTGACACACTGTCCACATCCTCTGTGGTGTTGTTGTTGAATGCCGCATCCAGTTTGTTCAAACGCTTGCCCTTGATCAGGAAACGTCCCTTCAGCTCCTACAAACATAAACAGATGACACAAATATATTTGAAATTTTTGTTGAAATTAGATCTGATTATGCATTGAAATGTTATATACACTACACTATGGAACTGAAAGATGATGCTTTACTATTGTTTCTCTGCTTACTGTGTTTATGTGAGGATGGGAGTTCATGGCTGAACCGCCCTCAGGCTGTAATACTAGAATCACCTTTGATCCTGCCATAGTGTCATTCAGAGAAACTGGCAGAACTTCTCAGTACGAGACAAAGCTCAGGGCTAAAACTCAATTCAAACAGGTCATCGTAAGCAAAAGATTCAAAACCGATCCAGCTGCATGGATTCCAATGTGACATCATTCAGAAGTCCCTCCCACCTCACAACCAAAACAAGCACTTCGAATCCTGCCCGTCTGAACTTGTACTGTCTTGTCATTTGACTTTCAGACGGCAGCTCAAAAGCTTGGGGAGTGTTTTGGTGAATCATCAGGAAGTGATAAATGGTTACGATAAAAAAAAAGTTTCTCCATGTAATTGTAGCTCTTCTGATAATCACTTCCTCGATCTTCAGCTATTTGAATTCAAGGATACAGAAGTAAACAGGAAGATTGCAGGGATGACGAGGAAGTCATCTGAGGAAAATGTGTGGTGTGGGGTGTGGTGAAAAGAGATTTTAAGAGGTCATGTAGCTGGTTTAGCTTTAGAGAGCGGTCTCTATTATCCACTAGGTGGCGATATGTAGAATCAGCTATCGTATGCAGTTACACACATAATTTCTTTACAATAGAACAAGAACTGAAAAAAATAATAATAATTGGCGTAGAAACAAATTTCACATAAAAAAATTTCTAGTAAATTTCACAAACTATTACAAAGAAATGACAAATAACAAGTAGAAAAACTGTATTTGTAAAAAAAAACAGACATATTTTTACAGTGCAGTGGTGCAGCAACATCCAAGTGTGTTATTTTTAGTGGTCTAACCTCAGGTCCTGGAAAAGTGTTGGGCATTTGATGCCCCAGGGGTTGAGTGAGCAAAACACTGCCCAGGATGGAGGTTAAGTGATGGGCCATGATCTTCTGCTGCTCTATGGAGCAATGGTTCTCCAAAGACAGGATCACTGGATACTGTGAGGTCTAGTGTAGCAAAAAACACAAGGTTTTCATAATCCACAATGCTGCTTTTATCAGTCATCACAACATCCAATTGACCTTATGACAGATAAATGACTGACAGCCCAAAAATAGCCAATCAAATTGTCTGTCAAGCTTTAAAGCTTATTGAACTGTCGGACACATACAAACCTCGTTTTCATTTGGAAAACTAGGTACTAGGAGTTTCGATCGTTTCGGTTCTCAAATCAGCTAGTAATATTAAAATGCAAGGGTTTTATCAGACTCATCATTCTTTATGATAATGGTCTGCATTCATTGTTTTGTGTTATTTTCTTGATTAATTAATGTATAACATAAAAGCACCGCGTTTGGGCTTCATTCAAGATACTGAATATTGTATACAAGATACAAGCATACTGAATGGATTCTGGTGTGAAACATCTCTATGCTCTGTTAAGTAATAAATAATGTGACATGCAGCTACACAACACACAAAAACATGATTTACTTCTTTCTGCATCTGCAAAGCATTCGTTACCCATTTGCCCTGTGTGTTAATGTCAATGTTTATGACATGCTGGCTGTTCGACTTCTTATTTGATCATTTTCTGCTCCTATTTTCTACATAAAAACCTGATACAAAAGCTTGTACATTCTAATTTTAAACATTTGAAGTAATTTGCTCCAAAAACTTTGGGTACCGTTCATAATTAAGTGAGCCATTTCGCAACATCCTTTTGTTTGATGGACATAGATAGAAAACTCACACCTTGAAAGCATTATTAGTTAACCACCTTTTTCACTCACTTTGAAAGCATATTCTTTGATGGCCTTGATGACATCTTTGAAGAGCACTTTGGATGTGAGCGTATGGCCGTGGTAAATGACTGGCTCTCCGTTTGCACCATCCCAGCAATCCAACTCCACACAGCGACAGCTCTTCACCAGCGCTCTAAAAGACAACAACCATTTTCTCACATTGCTTAGGGATGAATGCTTAAAGGGTTAATGCATAGCTGTTGAGACTTCTAGTGAAAGCAGACATGTTTGTACTTGATATAGGCTTCTGTGCTGCTAGGCCCCTTCAGCTGGTCCTCCATCAGATAGGTGTTGTGGGAAGAGGAAATGAAGTAATGATTGAGCGGCTGATGCATGTCTTGGTATATAGGCTTGTGGGCGGGGTTAAAGATGGAGCCTTCTTCATGGTTCAGGTACACCAGGAAACCATCTTTGCTCATGTACGTGTTCTGTTTGGCTGGGTAAATGTAAAAACACTGTAATACACTAAAATGTATTGTAAAAATACGTTTCTTATATTTTGTTACATGATACACCTGCTATTTTGATTGGGTAATCACTTTGTTTCATTATTGTGTATTTATAGTTTGTTATATAATGTTTATCTTCTATTATCCAAATTATATTATATGTGAAATATTCCAAAACAACTGTTTTTTTCTTTGTTTTTTTTTTTTTTTTTACTACATTTTAAAATGTAGTTTATTATTGTGATGGCAAAGCTGAATTTTCAGCAGTCATTATTCCAGTATTCAGTGTCACATGATCCTTCAGAAATCATTCTAATATGCTGATTTGCAGCTCAAAAAACATTTATTTTTATTAGTGCTGTCAAACAATTAATCACAATTAATCACGTCCAAAATAAAAGTGTTTGTTTACATACTATATGTGTGTGTACTGTGTTTATTTATTATGTATATATAAATACACACACATACAGTTTATATTTTGAAAATATTTACATGTATATACATTTACATATTTATATTATATATAAATATATTTAATATATAAACATACTGTAGCATATTTTTCTTAAATATATACACGCATGTGTTTGTATTTATGTACACATAATAAATATAAATTAACTATAAATTAAATACAAGGGGATTTGTACAAGGGAAATTTAAAAAAAAAAAAAAGAATGATATCAATGAAGAATTAATATCACCTGAAAATACATTGTCTGTATGGGTAATTTAACTACAAAAAATGAAACAATTAAAAATTGTACAGCAGTTATATACAGTTTGATTCTATACCATTTAATTACATTAACATGCGAGATACTTGAATAATCTTGATTTCTCAATCAAAGACTGCTGTATGAAATACGATTTAGTGCAGGCATCACGTCAGACAGTGATACGAAGCTGATAACCTCAGTGGTGTCACCCTACTTGACGATTATTGAACGTGTTTGGCAAACACAGCTGTACATTACAATCAGTCTCCTCCTGTGCCCTCTGACCTTTAATTCCAGTGTTAAACATAATATTAAATAGGACAAAATCAGCTCTGTTCTTCTCAGATCATATGTATTGTGCTATAATAATAAACTGAGGAATGTATCATATAGTTCAGATGTATACACACAGGGCTGTCTGTCTCTGCTGTTATCACAGTGTTCATCGGAAACGTGTTAACAGAACTGGCTCAGGTTTAGAGCTTTAATTGACCGTTCTGTGCACAAATAGATTCATAAACTGTTCTAACTGGAAGTAAGACACAAGTGAGATTTTTGGAAATCTCTCTTGCAATGAATTCATGATGCTAAATAAAACAATTAGACAATAGATGGCTTTCTGTGAAGAATCAGATCAGGGTTGGGTTGAGTGTACTCAGCCTACTGGAACAGAGCAAACATAAGAGAAGCCACTTGCCATGAATACGGTACACTTCAAGACACGTGACAAAAACAGCACAATTCTACCTATAATTCACAATCACAATCTATTCGATATTTTAGATAAACTGTTCTGTATTATAAAACTAGTCTAACATGAAAAGTAGCTGGTTTTAAAAACAGCAAATGTCTGTATCTCATTTGAGGTCTTGACCTTCTCGACTGTACTGCTAAAATCATAATTTTGATGTTAAATTATATTAAATTCATTTTTAATACTTCACTAATTTATTACATTTTTTATTGCTATTAATTAATTGTATTGTTAATTTGAATTTTCAATGCAAATTTATAGGTTTTATCAATGCATTTAAAATATTTCTTGAAAATTACGAAAAGAAAATTACGAAATTTATAGAAAATGACAAAACCACACAAATAAAGGCATTAAACTGTATCTAGTTCATGTAATACATTGAACCTTCTGACATAGATGTATAACATTTTCCAAAGATTGAGGAGTTTCTTTCACTGACCATTTGATGAAAAAGAAGAGCTTCACACCCTTATTTATACAGAATTTGTGGAAAATGTCGAAAAAGCACAGCTGGAGATAATTTGCTGTTTTAGACGTGGCACATGCTCACAAAGGCAAATATGGGGACTGTAGGAGAACTATTTTGATAACACCCAATCTCAAGTGAACTGGTGAAAGAAAGCAGTGTCAAAAGCAAGTCTAGCATCCTTCAGATTCCACTCAAACAAGCTGACAGTAAAGAAACATTGTGCTTGGCCAAATTCTGACCTCTGTTTTCGGATTTTGTCAGATAATTATTGTTACATTTAATGTATTATATAAAATACAGTGTCTGAAATACTAAAACAGTGACATTTAGGTTAATAATTGCACCAACATCTTTTTTAAGGTGAAGTGGGTTGATCTTTTTTGATTTAATGGTGCAGATTTAATGTAGGGATGATGCAAAGATTACACACTTCACCTTTAAAAATGATTGCTCATTGGTTTTTAAACCACATCCTGTCAGGTGCTTTTTCTCAGATCCTCCGAGCCGCCCTATTTGAGATATAATTGATATCATGGAGGACCTATTGTAGGCAGTAAAGTTCAATACTTAGTGTAAAATAAAAATAGCAACTGTGATGTGCTAGCAAGAGCTTTTAAACACATATCAGTGCTCTTACTAGTCTGATTTTGCCTCATATGACCTCTGTTGTATGTTACAGTGGTGGGATGTTGACCATGTGACCTCTCATTGTGTTCTGTTGGAGGCGGGAATAATAAACTCATGACAAACACCCTAAACAGGGGCAAAATCTGTTCGTTGTACAGATAATAGCATCAAACTATGAAACGGGGCATCACACAGGACTGAGGTTGATGTTTTATTCAAACAGTCTCTGTCCAACAGGGTTTAAAAGACGAACATGGTCATTGTCCCATTTCTGGATAGTTTTACTGCATCAGCAGCCCTAGTGTTTGATCTGTTACATTTCCTCAGTTTGTTTCCCACCCTTTCAAGTCCATTTAACTTTAGATAAACTTGGCATCATCACTATAAGATAATAAAAACCTCACTTCCTGTGCATAAAAACATGATCCCCTTGTCTTCTCGCATTTAAACGGTTAACTATTTTATAGATTTAACTATTAGCTCCAATGGCAAGTCCCTGAATCAACCTGTAACTTTTCAATACTTAGAAAGATCCTACTTGGCTTAAATATATGTGTTGAGGTACATTTTCCACCATTTATGTCATTGTTTTGAGAACATAAAAAGAGGCCGGATGCTTCGACTACATGTGCAATCCATCTAATCATCATTCCTGGCCAATGGGAGTTAAAAGCCTGTCAAAACACCCAACTAATGGGTGAAAATATCAAGTGAACAGGACCCGAGGGTTTCCCTGCTGATATCTGGTGTTTTCACTAGAATGCTTTGATTTTGTTTGGTCCTGGTTTACTTAATCACACACATGCAGGACAAAGAGGAGGCAGCCACAGTCTGGCAGACAGCAGATAAAGAGGTCTGATCTGAGGCCTTTGGCCAGGAGGAACCAGGCCGAAAGCTAAGAGGAGCAGAGGCCTCTGGACAACATGTGGGAAAAAGATTTGATATCACCACAACATTTCGTTCCCCTCCTCTCTGGTCATTTTGTCAGGGATGTTTCCTTTCCGCCCAACTCAAAGCCTTTTCTGGCCTTGCAGGCGGTAAAAATGTTTGTGGAGGAAAGTGAAGGACAGTTTGTGACCCTGGCTGTGAAAACCCAGCCAAAGTCTTTTTTTGTGATTTACTGTCTTCCACATAAAATCATCCTTCATAAGGTAAAGAACATTCTGTGAAAATGTAACCTTGATATCTTTAACACTGACTGAGTACGGCCATGTCAAAGATTTTTCAATCATTGTAAAATGAATGGTTGAAATCAAACTTTGATTCTTGTTATCTTTTAATTAGGTTTTGAGACTTTAGCCTGGATTTCACAGACAGGGTCACATTTGTTTACAGCTCCAGACTAAAAAGATAGGTTTACAGGAAAGCCATTTGATGTGAGGCTTGCTGATGCCAGCATGAGATCCTTTATTGAAAGGAAATTATACAAGGTTATTCGATTACAGTGTATCAAGAAACAACATGTTTTTATAAGGTATTTGTATTAAGTTATTATATATGATAATTGCATATACATACACACAAACAGACACATTGTGTGTATGATCAAAATAAATAATAGTTAACTGTTTTCTATTTTAAAATACTTTAAATCATAATTTATATTTCTGATAGCAAAGCTGAATTTTCAGCATCATTATTCCAGTCTTCAGTGTCACATGATCCTTCAGAAACCATTCTAATATGCTGATTTTGTGCTCAATAAATGTTATCATCAGTGTTGAAAACATTGGTGCTGCTTAATATTTTTGATTCATTTTCTACAGGACTCTTTGATGAACAGCATTTATTTAAAATATCATTTTTTGCACTGTCACTTTCCATCAAATTAACGGATTTTTGATTACCGAGCTACTGAATAAAAGTATTTATTTCTTCTTAAATAAAACCTTACTGACATCAAACTTTTGAATGCTATTGTATTATATATATCAATTTTATTTAATTAAATATTTAATTTTACACACACAAATTATTTTAGTTGTAAGTTTGTTTAATAGTATCTATTTATGGCATCATCGTTTGGTAAACCTGAACATTCATGTATTTACTGATCAAAATTGCCAATACAAAATGAGTTGTTTTGGCAGCTTAGTTGTATTCACAAATTTACAGTGTTTTGCTTATTATACCAAGATCTATTATTTCAAGTAAAATCTGATTCTTCATGATATGACCAAATCCTGTTCTCCTCACCTCTTTCAAACAGACACTGAATAAAGGGACAGCAGAGACACTTACAGCTGGAGTCACTCTTGAAAGTCTTGCTGGTCTGTTGCCACATAGTCTTGCAGTCTTCATTCAGCCAAAAGTAGCGGGTCTTTCTCCATGACCTGGACTTCACCTTTAGTAGGTCTCCACCTTTCAGCAAAAACTGCAGGTCCGGGTCTCCCTCCAGACCTAAAGGTCAAGAAAATGTCAAGTTCATGCATCAGTGCGAATGGATTTCACAAAGGTCATAAAATGTTCAAAGTCCACCGTCAAAGTATCTCAATTTATGAGAACTTTGGACGTCTAAATATAGAACCAAAGTCAAAAATACCTGGGGTCAATGCTGAGTCACGTAAAGGTCAAAGCTATTTAAAAAGATTACATCCATGGTTTCATTAATTCCAATGCCCTGACACTGACTCTCCAGACAAAAGCAGAAATTAACTTGCAGAATTTACACGACTTTGCTAAAGGTCAAAACCTGCTGGGTGAGCTTATAAGTATGGTAAAGGTTACTGTAAATGCACTAGGATTTTCTTTGATACTCTTTCATGCTGTGCTATAAAGTCCAAATCATTGAGTTTTTGCTTTAATGAAAATAAATGACATGTTTAACCATTCCAATTGTTGGTAAATTCCTAGAATTGTTCCCTTTCAGTAACTAGTTTCTAGTTTTTAAGTTTGAACAATATAAACACTATATAGTATATCATTATGCCTTATTATATTCAGTTTATAAAGTAATGTATTGATTTTTGACTCTTTATTAAAGTATCATAAATAGTACTCGTAGTCTGAAAGATAAAACTGACATGTATTGACCACATACATCCACCCACACAGCATGTTTTCCATATTGCAATGATATTGTGGTTATCTTTTCTTGCTGAAACCACAAACCCACAATGCTGACAGTAAAGATTACAATAAAATCATTTGCATCACTCACAGAGATTCTTGTGTTAATATATAGAGATTGTATGCTTCACATGTTTTTAACAGTAAAAAAAAAAACAATTTAAATACATATACAAAAAGATATCCATAAGCAGAACATTATATTTGTTTTTTGAGTTATGGCTTTGAAATAGTCTTTACTGATTTTGCATACACATACAAATATCCAAAGAAGATATACAAAGAATCCTGGAAAAAAAAATGTCACAGTTTTATGAAGCAGCACAACTGTTTTCAACATTTATAATAAGAAGAAATGTTTCTTGCGCAAATCAGCATATATATGAATAATATCCCCAGTTCGCTTAATATTCTGAGTTCACTTTCCAAATAGTCATATGATCCGTGTTGTAATTTTTAGGATCGATTTTCAAACAATTATGCAAGGATTATTGCATCTATAAAGCAAGACAAAGATAACCACAATATTACTGCAATATGGAAAAATGCATATGTGCATGGGTGGTGTTTGTAGTCAGTTCATGACATGTCAATGTTGCAATAAAAGAGCAGTCTTTCCATAAAATGCTTTCACTTCATTTTCAGGAGTGGCTAAATTTGGAACGATAAAATATTGCGGTGAACGTCTGCAACATCCCGATGAGACACAAAGCCGTTGTCCCCAGCTATCATAGTGCTGATATCAGAGTGATAAATGCACCTGGTTGAACTCTGTCATGGTGGGCTTAAAGGGGTCATATGATGTTGCTAAAAAGAACATTATTTTGTGTATTTGGTGTAATGAAATGTGTTTATGTGGTTTAAGGTTCAAAAAACACATTAATTTCCACATACTGTACATTATTGCTTCTCCTCTATGCCCCGCCTTTCTGAAACACATCGATTTTTACAAAGCTCATCGGTCTGAAAAGCGAGGTGTGCTCTGATTGGCCAGCTGTCCAGTGCGTTGTGATTGGCCGAATACCTCAAGCGTGTGACGGAAATGTTACGCCCCTCACCATACTGTCCCGGAGCAATGAGACAAAATCATTAAAATCCATTATAAACCAGGCATTTGTTGCATCCAATGGGGACATAAATATGGATTATAATGACTTATACTGTCTTTTTACG